TGGAGGACATTTATCCAGCCTTTCTCTCCTGAACTCCAGACTCCTACGTCCAGCTGCCTACCTGACCCCTCTGCTTGCATGTCTAATGAGCATCTCAAACCTGCACTGTACAGGTTTGGCTCATTCTCTGCCTCTTCCCCTCTGCCAGGCCCTGTGTTAGACATGCCTAGTGCCCACCCGTATCTGGTGTCCCTCTCCTTCTGAACTCCTAGGAGGATTTAACGTCTCCACTTCAGTGTAGTTAGGTGAGGCGACCTCACCTCTTCGAGTCCTGCGGCTGCAGGTGGAAGCAGCATGTAATTACAAGCCAAAGCGTGTAATTGCTGGTGTATTCTTCATACAGTAGGTGTCTAGGATGCAGTTCCCTAACAAAGTCCTGCATGTTCAGTCCCATCTCGGAGGACCTGGACTAACCCATAGGGTTATCTTTGAAAAATGCCCTTTTTAAAAAATACTCCTCCTCTACATAAACCAGCCATAGATGAGCATCAAACCTAAATTTCTATGTCTGGTTTTTTAATAATTTGAGCCCCCAAGGAATCTGTCCTTATTAACCGTGTCATCCCCTAGCCTACTCATCCACGTGGGTTTGCTTGGGGTAATTCCACTTGCTGGGAGCACTGTGCACTGGCTCATTTGAGCCTTCCCCTTTTGGTCTACACCCCATCATACCTCCTTCTCCTTGATGGTATCCTTTTTCCCCCTGGGATGAAGGGAATACTCTACCTACTTCTGTCCATTCTTCCTCTACCAACCCAGTATCCAAAGCTGTAAATAGCTAAGGAATGCACATGCCATATCTAAAGCATTTACTGACTTCACATGCTTGATTTTAAAAGATACTTGATTTTTTTTTTAGTAATGTTATATTTATCTGGATTTGTATATAAAATAGAAGGGGTATCCGTATTACAACTTTCCTGTTGCCTTTATGAAATGAAGTACGACCCACCAGAGTAGCAATAATCTCGTGTTCCTGGAGGAGAGTACTCATTACTTAACAGAATTAGTTATCCCAGATGTTTTATTGGTCACCTTTAATGACTTTTGGATTAATGGACAAATAATGGATTAGATTTTCCTTTACTCATTTCTTAATGTATCTCTCTTCATATGGATTATTTTCCCATTTAGAATATGTCAATAAGTGTAAGTCATATATATGAGCAAATCTAACAAGACAATAAAATTCAGACCAAAAAACCATTAGTTTTCATAACCTAGAGACAGTAGTTATCATGGAGTGGACCAGCTAAGAAATAGAATATTTTAACATCAATTTTATGTCAAAATCCCTCCAGATTTGGGGGGGGGGGCAGTTTTCTTTATTTTGTTTAACTTTTCTTAATGTTTTTGTTTTTAATTTATTTTGTGAGAGAGAGGGACACTGCGAGCAGGTGAGGGACAGAGGGAGAGGGAGAGACAGAATCTGAAGACAGGCTCCAGGCTCTGAACTGGCTGTAAGCACAGAGCCCGAGGTGGGGCTCGAACCCACAAACGGCGAGATCATAACCTGAGCCGACGTTGGACGCTCAACCGACTGAGCCACCCCGGCACCCCTCTTTTTTTTTTTTTAATGTTTATTTACTTCTTTTTGAGAGAGAAAGAGTGCTCGCACAAGTGGGGGAGGGCAGAGAGAGTGGGAGAGAGAGAATCCTAAGCAGGCCTCTCACTGTTAGCACAGAGCTCGACATAGGGCTCGAATTCACAAAATGTGAGATCCTGATCTGAGCTGAAACCGGGAGTTAGATGCTTAACCGACTGCGCCATCCAGGCACCCCCTTTTTTTCTTTTTATAAAGTACTTCTACAATCTAAAACTATTTTTTTTTATTTTTTTTAATGTTTTATTTATTTCTAGGAGAGAGAGAGAGACAGTGCGAGCAGGGGAGGGTCAGAGAGAGAGGGAGTCACAGACTGAAACAGGCTCCAGGCTCTGAGCTGGCAGTCAGCACAGAGCCCGACGCGGGGCTCGAACCCACGAACCGCGAGATCACGACCTAAGCGAAAGCCGGACGCCTAACCGACTAAGCCACCCAGGCGCCCCTATCTAAAACTATTTGAAGTATATTTTTACAACTAAATGCAATCAAAATTTATTTTTAAATGTTTATTTCGAGAGAGTGTGTGTGAGGGGCAGAGAGAGAAGCAGAAAGAGAATCCCAAGCAGGCTCCGTACTGTCTGCACAGAGCCCCATGTAGGACTTGATCCCACAAACTGTGAGATCATCACCTGGGCCAAAATCAAGTGGGACGCTTAATCAGCTGACCAAGGCGCCCCAATGCAATCAAAATTTTAAGTCTCACTTTAGTCTTTTCTGTTCTGGAAGAAAAGGTGAAAGGGTAGAAGAAGGAGCAAATCTCCTTTATCCTACCTTTTGCCTAGTGAACAATATAGAAGGAAATTTTATCTGCTGCTCAAATTTAAGTCCCATATACCCTGACTAAGTAGCACATCCTGTGATAAGAAGTAAAAGGAAACATTAAAAAGATTAAACTCCATATATCATCCTGTGTTGAACCTCATGACTAGTTTGATGGTTGTTACACTAGAAGCCAGTACAAATGTTCTTTCTCATTATATTAAATGTCATTTAGAGACTGGAATCATACGTGGCGAGTTTATGAATGGATAAAACTGTAATCCTCCCTCCCCAGCCTGGCCCTGCTCTAGATGCATATTATCTTGGTGGGTGAGAAGCATAGTCAGCCTTGCAGTACCATTTGACTTTTTCCATGAAGAACAAATTTATTTTGATAAAAATTAACATTTGAAAAGAGTTTTTTAAAGCATAGACTGAGACCAGGGCTGTGGGTATATGTAAGGGGACTGGGGTGCATTTTCCCTGCAGAGCCTTCAAGGTTGTGACTTTATTTCCCACCTTGCCAGTTGTCTCTCAGCATTCAGTATTTATGCAAAGGTGATGTTATATGCATGACTACTGCTAAAGGTTGGAAGAGCAAAGGATCAGCTTCAAGACATTTAGCCACACACAGTTCCCCCATTTTTTTCTATTAGGTCTTCTGGGGTGTGCAGTATTGATAAGTCATTAAATGTTTTTGACTTATACATTTCGTCCTATTTTCTGGACCTAGAGTCCTTTCTAGTAAGCTTGCACAGGAAACTTCTTCAAATTGGCAGCAACACTCCTCACTTGAAACCCTTTTCATCCATGGGTGTCTTGTGACGGAGGTAGACACCGTAAACTGCGAGGCACAGGGGATCGCTGAGCCAAAATACAGGGACACTGAGACCCAGAATGAGAAGGAGAGAAACAGCACCTGAGGCTGTGGAATCCCCAAAGTTGGGAGGAAAATTCTCTGCTAATCAAAAAGAAAAAAGATTTTTATCTAAATGAAATATTATGGACTGGAAAAATGACTACCTGTTTTTTGTTTTGTTTTGTTTTGTTTTTGAGAAATGCATCAAACCTTACCAGTGCAAACTTCAGTGGGTTTTGTTTGTTAAATATTTAGGCCAAGAGGAATTGTTGATAATGAGAGACAAAGGTTTGAAAAGGAAAACAATCATTGGGCTTGTATTTAATCACTTTGCATTTTCTCAGACGTCAGTCATGTCATTATCTGGCTGTGGTGCTTACAGAACTCAATTAGAGGAGTTCAGGCAGCATTGGGAATAGGAGGCCAAAATGAAAGGGTAACAATTTAAATGGATCGCCAGCCGATGCCTGGTGTGGATGGAGACGAAGCCATTTAAGGACATAATTGCAGAAGAAGCTCTTGACATTGATCATTTGTGAAAAGGAGATTTTTTTTTCTTACATACATGGTTTTGTACACTTAGTCGCAGACCTTCAGCATTGGTACATCCGATCATCAGCTTGTGGAATTACTAACACCAAGCCACTTGAAAGAAAGAAAGAGCAGACAAGGTTATTAACTTTGGCAGGAAATGAAAATTTGGCCTTAATATACATGTGAAATTGAATTGTCTGTATCACAAAGCTTTGGAGATTACCCATGCAAAATGAGAAAACTATCTAAATTTAAAATTGTCCTCAGTACAGTGAAAAGTAATTTTGCAGACTGCATTTTTACTGCACTGGAATCCATGAAGAGATTGGCTCTATTAATTTAGATTTAAACAGAGGCTCTGTATCTTCTAAAAATGGTAAATGAGATGGAAAATGTACTTTAAGGGGAGGAATGAGTTTCTGGAGATGCTGCAGGCAGGTAGGTTCCCTCCTCCACATCTTTGAGTCTGCCCTGAGACCAGTTGGCTTCAGAGGGAAGGCTCTATCTACTGTGACAGGCATTCAGACAACGCCTCAATTATATACATAGCCTTCTCTTGAAAGATAAGAAGCACGTTGAGGAAGGCCCAGAGCAAAAGTCACTGGCAGTTTTTACAGTATAATTTCTCAAGTGGCGGAGTCCTTGACAGAGAAAAGAAATTAAGGAGGAATTGAATTTATTTTCTCAGATCTCAAATAACTAAGTAGTTGTCTTATAATCCTTGCCTGGTGATACTGGGGTAGGGAATTTGGTTACTGTACCTATGTTCACATTCACAAAATTACCTTCCATAGAAAGAGAAATTGAGTTTTTCACTCCCTAGTCTTTGAATTTCTTTAGCTCGCAAGAATAAGTATTGCTTGTTTACTTATTAAGTAAATGATTATTTGTTAAAGAGGTGACTATTTGTTTAGAAGCATAGTTTTGATAACCTGTCATTTAACCATCAAGAAGAATACATTTACACACAGTAGAGTGCAGCAAGGGTTAATGATAAATTTAGGTTAGAGTTCATACATGGTCTCAGAGTTCCTATTATTTACAGTTGCAGTGATGAAGAAACAAGTGCCTTTGTCTGGTTCTTAGAGCTGCTGAGTCTAGAACTAAGGTCACCCAAACTTCTGGAGAGTTGACTTACATATATGTTATGGCTTATCGACAATAGGCACTGCTGAGTAGGCAGCACACCAGAATAAAACAGTGGCCCATTCTTCATCCTTATATTATTCTCTTGTTGCTTTTCAGGTATCTCTTTGCTTTACTTACATCTTTATGATGTGTTCGGGGACCCTGCTTACCTACAGATGGCACATGGCTACGTAAAGCAAGGTCTGAACAGTTTGACCAAGCGTTCCATCACCTTCCTGTGCGGGGACGCAGGCCCCCTGGCGGTGGGCGCTGTGGTGTATCACAAGATGAACAATGAGAAGCAGGCAGAAGACTGCATCACCCGGTAATCATGTTTCTTTTTGAGGATTATTATCTAGACGTCGTTACATATTCTGTCTGTATTAGCAAAAGAACATTTTAGTCAAGTTACTTTTCTCCCAGCAATAAATCTTACTACTGTCATTTGATCACTTCACACATCAGAACAACCATTATAGTTCCTATATTGTTGTAAGATGTAATGACATGGACACATACCAGATCAAACATTAGTTTAATAACAAAAATGAGATCAAAATCCTGGTCATGTGATGACTAATATAAGGTGCTATCCAAGATCAGTAATTCAAAAAACGTGCTTTATTTCCTATGGTGGGCTGGGTAACAGATGACAGACTGACCCAAAATTGCTTTTCTTAGGAGCAAATAACATGCAAATCCAGATTCTTACTTTTTTTTTGTTTTTTTTGTTTTTTTTTTAGATATGCATTTTTATTTTTTTTATTTATTTATTTTTTTACAAATAGTTTATTGTCAAATTAGTTTCCACATAACACTCAGTGCTCATCCCCAAAGTGCCCTCCTCCATGCCCATCCCCTCCTCCCCCCCACATCCATCAGTCCTCAGTTTTTGTCAGCATTCAAGAGTCTCTCATGGTTTGCCTCTCTCCCTTTCCCCCACCATTTCCCCCCTTCTTCTCCCCCTTGTTCCTCCGTCAAGTTCCTCCTAATCCTCCTATACGTGCAAACATATGATATTGGTCCTTCTCTGCCTGACTTATTTCGCTCAGCATAACACCCTCAGGGTCCATCCATGTTGCTACACATGGCCAGATTTCATTGTTTCTCATTGCCATGTAGTAATCCATGGTATAGATAAACCACATCTTCTTGATCCATTCATCTGTTGATGGACACTTAGGCTCTTTCCATGTTTTAGCTATTGTGGAGAGTGCTGCTATGAACATTGGGGTACATGTGCTCCCATGCATCAGCACTTCTGTATCCCTTGGGTAAATTCCTAGCAGTGCTATTGCTGGGTCCTAGGGGAGTTCTATTGTTAGTTTCCTGAGGAACCTCCACACTGTTTTCCAGAGGGGCTGTACCAGTTTACATTCCCACCAACAGTGTAGGAGGGTGCCCGTTTCTCCACATCCTCGCCAGCATCTAGAGTTCTCTGATTTGCTCATTTTAGCCACTCTGACTGGTGTGAGGTGGTATCTCAGTGTGGTTTTGATTTGTATTTCCCTGATGAGGAGGGATCCAGATTCTTACTTTTAATACAGAGCAGGGCAGCTGACTAGGAGCTTGTAAATTACAAAGCAATACTAAACTGTGGTACTAATAAACTGCAATTATTGTTTGACTAGAGTTTATTGAGCACAAATTCTATCAAGAAACCTCGTTCTATGCAATACTGCATGTAGTGCTATTAGACTCCACTGGGCATGTTAACATAGAGAGTTGCAATTCCAGGAAAGGTTTTTTGGTTTTGTTTTGTTGTTTAATAGACTTTATTATTTCTTTAATGTATTATTTTAGAGAGCATAGTGGAAGAGAGGAGCAGCGGAGGGGGAGAGAGAGAATACTAAACAGGTTCCATGCTCAGCATGGAGCCCAATGCAGAGCTCCATCCCAGGACACTGCGATCTTGATCTGAGCCAAAATCAAGTCAGGTGATCAACTGACTGAGCCCCCCAGGTATCCCCAGGCCTAACTTTTTAGAGTAATTTTCCATTCACAGAAAAATTGGGAGGAAGGTACAGAGGTGTCCCATGTACCTGCTATCCCCACACATGCATAAACTCCCCATTATCAACATTCCCCACCAGAGCAGTGCACTTGTTACAGTGGATGGACCTGTGGTGACACATCATTATCACCCAAAGTCCATGATTTACGTTAGTTTACATTAGTTACATCTTGGTGTGGTGCAGTTGGTGGGTTTGGACAAATGTATGATGACGTGTATCCATCATTGTACTCTCATACAGAGTAGTCTCACTGCCCTAAAAATCCTCCCTGCTCTGCCTACTTATCCCTCTTCTCTTCTCCCTAACCCCTGGCAACTACTGATTATTGTACTGTCTGCTTGGTTTTGTCCTTTCCAGAATGTCATAGTTGGCATCATACAGTATGTAGCCTTTTCAAATTGGCTTCTTTCACTTAGTAATATGTATTTGAGGTTCTCCCATGTCTTTTCATGGCATGATAGCTCATTTCTTTTTAGTGCTAAATAATAGTCCATTGTCTGGATGTACCAGAGTTTATCTGTTTACCTACTGAAGGACATCTTAGTTGCTTTCAAATTTTGGAAATTATGAATAAAGCTAATGTAAACATCCATGTGCAAGTCTTTGTGTGGATGTAACCTTATAGCTCGTTTGGGTAAATATCAAGGAGCACAGTTGCTGGATCATATTACAAGGGTAGATTCAGTTTTGTAAGAATTTCCAAACTATCTTCCAAAGCGGCTATACCATTTTGCATTCCCACCAGCGATGAATGAAAGTTTCTATTGCTGCACATCCTGCCAGCGTTCCAGATTTTGGCCATTCTAATAGATGTGTCATGGTATCTCCTTGTTTCTTGCTTGTTTTCTTTTATTTTTTGTGTTGATTTACTTTTGAGACAGAGAGAGAGCACAAGCTGGGGAGGGATGGATGATCCAAAGCGGGCTCTGCGCTGACAGCACAGAGCTTAATGTGGGACTCAAACTCACGAACTGGGAGATCATGACCTGAGCCAAAGTCAGATGCTCAACCAACTGATCCACCCAGCCCCCCAACCCCTGGCCTCGTTTTAATTTGCATTTCCCTAACATACAATGTGGAGCAAGCACCTTTTTATATACTTATTTGCCGTCTGTATCTCTTGTTTAGTAAAACATCTGTTAAGGTCTTAAGTGCATTTTTTAATTGGGTCCAGCAACATTTTAATTAGTGATTGCCCCCAATTTACCAGTTTACTACGGTTTTTGATTCCCACTACTCTTTCTTGTAAATTACTGTTAGAATGGTATTATCATCACTGATTTCATTTGTGGAGGATATTTGGTTAAATTTATACTGTGCAGTGCTGTGTATTTCATTAACAGGCTTTTGGCCTAAAATTCTAATTACTAGAGTTTTTTTTACCCCCTCAAAACTTTATTATGAAAAATTTCAAACATACAGAAATGTTGAAAGAACAGTGAATACCTGTGTATCTACCCACATAGATTCTAGCATTAACATTTTCCTGTGCTTGCTTTATCACAGATCTAATCCATCAATCCAGTCCTCTATCCACATTATTCATCCTTTTTTGGCAGGGGATGCATTTCAGAGTAAACTGCAGACATCAGTATCCTTCCTTCTAAATACTAAAGCATATATATCATTTACTTGGGTTCAGTACCTGTTTAGTTTTCTTCTTTTGACATAAAGTTTACACACAGTGACCTGCCTGAGTTTTATGTATATTTGTTGAGTTTTGTTAAATGCACGTACCATCTAAATTTGCACTACAGAAACTACCTTTCTGGCTTTTTTAGCTATACATCTGCTTTATAGACTCAGAAGGGAGTCTCATTCAGTGAGTCATTCTTAAGTATCATAAAAATAAGCTGTAGTGGTCCTGGTATTTTATACGTAATGCCAGCCTTTCTCAACATATGTACAACCAGATAGTAATTATTTACTATGTGAAAAATGAAAACAAGATTTATGTATTCAGATTGGGGAAGCACTAATTAAACAAAGTTAAATATGTACCTTTACTGGCTGCTCAGTGTCTTCAGTTAGCTTCTGTGCCTGGGGGACACTCGCGATTCCAGGAAGTGGCATTTGCCAGACTTGTCAAGTAGACAGCCCCTTTTCTCAGGACTTTTAGGGCTCACTGTTCTAAGAAATGCTCTTTGGGGAATAGTACCATATATTAATATTGGTTTATTATAAAATACTCTTAATGGTAAACTAAAATTTCTTTTCTTTTTTACACCTTGACAATAAAGGTGTTTTTTGTAATTTATATCTTTTTGAAAACTTTATCGACATTTCCTTTATCAATATATGGTAGGAAAATAGGCTGTTTATGGCCACAGTTTTGATTTTTCATTTCTAGAGTTCATGGCACAACAGGAAGAGAAAAAAGGAATTATTTATAAATTGCTTTCACATTTCTTCCCTTTTAAGGGAAAACTCTTAAGTCTTCTCAATTCAATTGAAATAATTTGGTGTCATCAGATATTAAACCTACTAGTTTGTTTCACTTGTTACTGACCCTTCTTTCTCATATCATGCAGCCCTTGGGAAATAGCAGAGTTGTGTGTGTGGCGCCTCTTCTGCCCCAGCGCCAACATCCCTTTTCATCTTTACCTTTCCTGTATTTTCCTAATATGATGGTCTTTCAGAATCATCATTTTCAGCACTAGAGACAAAGAAGTCAGTGTTTCCCTAAGGTAGGGATTCTTAACCTGAGAATCTTCAGGCTTCAAGGTCTATATAAAACCCCAAATTGTATTCAGCACAGAGAGAACCCTTATGCTTTTCTCAGACGGGTCTGTGACTCCCCAAAAAGGAGTGTGTGTCTTTGTGTGTCTGTGTTCATGTTCAAAATGTCCTGCTGTTGGTGGGGGCAGGTGGCAAGGAAGAGAATAGACAGCTCAGAATTTTCCTTCTGTTTGATTTGTACCATGTTTGTTTTCACCCTTCCCTCCACACACGGCGCCACTATGCAGAGAGAGCATTGCCTACTGACAGTCCCCAGCTCAGTGACTGATGTGACATACGTAGTGCTTTGGGGCCAGGACTTAGAGTGATGAAGAATTTTGGCTTTCTGGTCAGAAAGTGTCCACTCTCTCTTTTGTAGTGTGATGTGTAAGAAAAGGACTGCTTTTTAAAAAGTTACAAACCTTTCCATTTCTTCTAAGTTGTCCAATTTGTTGGCACAGGACGAGACATGAGAAAGTCACTTCCCCTCTCTGTACCTGGGCTCACCTCCATTACATGTGCTTCTCCCTTAACAGAGTCTCATGGAGACAGTTACACCTGAGCAAGTCACCTGGGGATATGGGGACTCAAACCCTTCTCCAGGTACCCTGGGGGGCTTCAGGGAGGGTGTGCTTCCTCTACTACCCCTATTAATTTTACCATACCCATCCTGCTTTTTATTAAATCCCTGCACACTGTGACAGATTCCTGGGGTACATGAAAAAAAAACGATTAAACATCCCCAAACACCTGAACTCATGAAAAAAAAAAAAAGTTACAAACCTTTCGATGATACAAGGTAAAAACTCTCCCCAGTAACACCCTCAGGAAATGTTGTAGGAGTGGAACAGAACTATCCTGGTTTTAGAAGTCTTCATTCTTCCTTCAGTGACATTTGAGTAATGTGTCTCTTCTGAAGATTGGTTGCTATTAATATCATCATAGCAAAACAAATGGAGGTGCGATAATGTGCTTCTGGGTTTCAGAGTTTTTGAAAACACATAAAATAACCTTCAAGACTATACATGCTATCATTTCTTCACTTTATCTTGAGAATGTAGCTAGTAAAAATACAGTTAAAAATCCTACCTTTTGTAATCATCAGACCCAGCTAATGAGTTTTAAGGATTTGAATTCAAATCCAGGAAAAAAAGGAATACTTCCTTTCTTACCCTAAACTCTTAAGTATTATTTTAAGGAGATGCTCTGAGCAGTACTTCATTTTCAAGTATCTGAAAGGATTTTGCTATCTACTTTAAACTTCCAAAACACAAATGAGCTTGGCTGCAAAATAATTGGAATGCTGATTATGTATCGCCACCTAGTGGTAACGTAACCTACAATGTCGGCCTATGAAGGAAACGTGGTTCAGACACATTTAGGTGAAAACATCATTGGAATTAATGCAGTAATTGTTCTGAATAACTTCCATAGAACAGTATTTATTTTAAAAATTCACAGTAATTTTCCTTTTTTTGAATAATTCAATTTCCTTTACAAAAGTAAACCAAAAATGCCTTTTCATATCTAAATACAATACAATATGCTTTATTTACATTAAAACTTGATAACAAATTTTTAAATCAAAACTCTGAGGTATTCCTTCTGTTTACTACAACAGTTGAGTTTGTATCTAGCAAAAATATTTTGTTAAGATCTCAACATTACTGAATTGCCAGTTCTGGCATAAGAATAAAATAGAATTTTTTTAAATAAATGTTTTAAGTTCTTTAAAAAATATTAGGGGTATGTCTGTGTGTGTGTGTCTGTGTATGAAATTGAAGTAGAAAACAAAATGGCCCATAATTCTACCATCCAGGCAGGCCTGTTCACATTGGGGAAAAAAATCTCCAGAAACAACAAGAAAATTGAAAGTGACCTTTGGCCACCATGTCCCTATTCCTAAGATAGCGACTGCTCCACTGCAAGTTTAATGCCTATACGTATAGAAGAAAAAACATACATGAGCCAGCATTTGAATGTTTAACCAACTTGATGAGATGCCTCCATTTGTTGAGGTACAATATAACTGTCAGTAACTGCAACCTGACATTCTTTTTCACACCCCTCTCTCCTGACAGGTGGTGAGTTCCCTTAAGGACACTTTTATAAATTTTATGCAGTCTATTGCATAACTGTTAGCCCCTCTCAGTCATTAAAAGCATCTCATTCTGATTATTAAGACGTGGCTTTTTAATTTTATATTGTGAGTGTTTCCCTCCCCTGACCACAACCTTATAGAAGTGGAGGGGAGGGTTGGGAGAGGGGAATTGTCTGTTCTTTCACAAGTACCCTCCCTTGGGAGCCAGGACACTCTTCATTATACCCATTGGTTATAGACTGGTGGCAGCATTTGTTAGGTTTCTGTTTGCTTGTTTGTTTTTATTGTTTGTATATATGGGTGGCCTCCAGAGATTAGCGGTAGGAGCTGTATACCCTTCAGCTGTAACCTTAACACGAAGTACTCAAAATGAAAGCACAAGCAGTGAACCAAATTCTGCCAAATAAACAAACCAAGTGTACAAAGATTGATTAGGAAGAAGATACACACACATACACACAAGTAGTCTCCTGTTCTTGTGACTTAGAGAAAACCACATTGTCCCCAGACAATCTTCTCAGGTCTTATGGATCAAGCGGTAGTAGAGCCAGGACCATCTCCCAAACCTTCCACCTGTCTTCATCCCTCATCCCACCAATAAAAAAAAATCTTTAAATTCTTTACTATACTTATCAGCAAATCCTCTGGTGTAGATTTTGATAAACTTATTTTAAGTGCCGAGTACCTCTGAATGGTGATTCCTGATAAGACTAGTTCAAATATAGCCAGTCACCCCAGGGGTGTGATTTTGGATATTTCAAATGCTGATTATAGTGCTTATATTGTATAGTGCTTATATGCTTATAATAACTAAAGTTAGATGAAATACTCGCACAGGCACTGTTTGTACTTAACTACTTTGAAAGTAAATTTCTACATAGACAACAAGAGAATTTTACAACCAAATAATGGCTTTGTCCTCAGGTAGTGTGGTCAGTGTCATACGCTACCTGACGACAAAGCCACTATTACTTAGTAGGGCCGATGTCCTCTCGTTACTGCTCTTTTCTTGGAATTCCCTGGCTCTTCCCTCCTACTTTTCCAGTATGCTAATATTTTGTCAAGTTTTCCCCCAAATTATATTGTTTTAATACCTTAAATGGTGTCATATTGAATATATAGGATAGTTTAGGGGTAGTTGGGATGTGCTTTCAAAATTTCATGTGAAAAAATCCAAAAGAACAAAGACATTTTCCCTACGTATTGTGTTTGCTTTCCACCCCCTCCCCACTACCCACCTCCAGAAGCAAGAAAGGCTCGTTCTCTGAGTTCAGCCTACAAATATGGCTGTTTTCCCAAGCTCGTTTCCTTGTGAACTTCACCTACTTTCTGGTTCCCTGGGGCTTCCCTCTTCGGTCCTCTGGAAAGAAATCCACTCTGCCAAGTATTCCCACCTGCATCTGGGGCTAACTGCTGGGAAGGCAAGAAAGGAGTGAGGCAGTGGAGGTTCACCCCATCTTCCTGGGGCCACAGCTCCTTCAGTCTGTGAGGAAGGGTCTCTCCCTCCAAGACTTGGCTTCTGTGGGCTCCCGTTGTGTTCGTTTCTGCCAACAGCGTGGGATCACTTGTGGCCCGGGGTGTGAGTAAATGGAGGGTAAAAGAGGGAAAATACAGAAACCTGAGACGCTTTACTCACTCTCTGATATTAGACATGCTCTTTCCCGTTCTTTCCTGACGCAGAACTACAGGGCTTCTTCCAGGACCCGTTAGCCCTGGCTGCTCACTTCCAGGTTTGGGACTATTCTGAATTTAGGCCAGAGGAATACCATAGACAAAAATACGGTAGACTCACCACTGTTTTGGTGGTACTTCAAATTCTGGTCTTCTCCACTCTGCCTGCTGCTTTTACTGTTTGGAGTCCTTAAAGAGCCACCTTGAGCATTCTCTCCAAGTCTTGGAGCTGCGTTTACCAGGAGAGGGAGGATGGAGTGTGTTTACTCCATCTTACCTAGAGCCAAAACCAATTTTTTGTGTCAAGCTGAACTGAGTCCATCAATAGGGAATTAATACCTTATAATATACCCATTCAATGGAATCCTATACAGCTATGATAAAGAATGAAACTACTCGATGTGCTGGTGTTAAATGTTTGTCAAGATGTATTGATAAATAGCAAGCCATAGGACATTTGGGGAGATACAGAAATGCGTAATTATGCTTCTGTGTGCATAAAATAATTCTAAGAATATCCAAGAATTTGGTAAGCGTGGTTGTTTCTGAAGAGAAGGACTAGAAGGCTGGGAGACTGGGGAGACAGGGAGGCTAACAGAGGCTGACTGAGGCCTCGGTGCTATCTGCACATTGTATCGGCTGTGGTTCATCAGGCTGTTGTACTGACACTGCACCTAGGCCTGATGACATGTTCAGAAATAAACCAAGGAAGGAGGTGATGGGGGTGCAGCAGGCTTTCCATTTGGTGGAAGTAGATTTCATTCCTTGAATTCGTTTGTCATTTCTATTGTGTACTGAAGAAAAATTTAGTTGAGGGATAATTTTGTACCCTAACTACCCTTTATGGTCTGGCTTAATGTATGATTAATGTATAATAATATTTAACATATATTTATAATATATAATATATAACAAGTTATAATATAAATATATGAAAATATTTAGTTTATATACTAATTATATTTAAAATGTTTTAAATAACTAATAGTAAGTTAACATATAATATTTATATACATACATTTATGTGTGTGTGTGCACGTATTTTTTGATGTACTATTTTTAAGTATATACCACTATCCGATCCCTTTCAAGTTATCTTAGGCATGTATTTTTATTCCCAGGCTAATTCACCTAAATAAGATTGACCCCCATGCTCCAAATGAAATACTCTATGGACGAATGGGCTACATCTATGCTCTTCTCTTTGTGAATAAGAACTTTGGAGCGGAAAAGATTCCTCAAAGCCACATTCAGCAGGTACCACATTTTTGTGCTTTTAGGAATCTTGTTAGGCTCCCGGTTAGAATCCCGTTGTTAGGATACCTGAACTACTGGTTTTGTTTCTCCTGTTAGCGTAGCCCCGGTGGAAGGCAGGTGTGTGTCATTCTCTAAAGATCAGGCAGGATCAGAGAGCTGACCGTGTCCCGCTGAGTGCTGTTGGAAACACAGAGAGTGACTGGGAGTGAGAAGTGCAGCCTGCTCCGTGTGAGAGTGTCGCCCTTCCAAAGATGAGGGCCAGATCTCACCTCCCAGGTGCAGGTGTCTCCTTTCACGTCTGAAGGAATTCATGCTTTCCTCTGACAAGTGAATTCTTGTAAGCTCTAGTAAAGAGAGTTCACACTCCATCTTTTAGGCAGAATACAGTCACCACTGCTTTCTGCCAGCAGAATTAAACTGTGCCCGTCCATGGCCGTAAGATTGTGTCCTGTTCACTGTGTTCTCCATACCTCGTAGCAGAAAGTTCCACCAGGAAGATTTTTATTCGGACTCTCTCATGATTCCTATTGGTTTTCTCCCTGTAGGTTTGTGAAACAGTCTTAACCTCTGGAGAAAACCTAGCGAAAAAGAGAAACTTCACAGCAAAGACTCCACTGATGTATGAATGGTACCAAGAATATTATGTGGGGGCTGCTCATGGCCTGGCAGGAATTTATTACTACCTGATGCAGGTAAGAGGGGAAGATGGTGAAGCTTGCCAGTGCGCCTCCCGATTGGACTGTCCGGGGTGAGGACGTTGCACTCTGCCAACCACTGCGTCACCCTGCGTACAATTTCCCGACCTAGACAAACAAGGGCAGCGTTTGCCAAGGTGCATGTGAAAGTGCACACACACAAAAGGCACCGCACTGTGAGATGACATTCGATTTGTAGGTGACCGTCCTTGCCCGCCTCGTGCCACTCCTGCGGACTGAAGTGTTCTCCTCTCCTTCTGCACGCGGTGCTCTGCTCTGCTCTTTCAGCAGATGCCTTGAATTAATATTATTGCATATGATTAGACACAACCCATTGAAACAAGTTCCAGAAGGAAGAACAAAATCAATAGAAAACAAATGAGCATATGTTGCCCGAGGCTCACTTACAGAGCAAAGCCACAGAGTCTTTTTGGCAGATTTTGTGTAACTTACCTGAAAAATAGCTGAATACGCTGTGCCCAACAGCTCTTTGGATCTAATACTGTAGAGGACGTTAGTAAAAGTCGAATAGACTAAAGCTAAATAGAATTTACTGCAGCAAGCATAACCTGGCAGGGGGGTTCAGAAGAGGACTTTTCATGAGGACATCATTTCCAGGGGCTTATTCAGCTCTCTTTAAGGAGAAATTGGCACTCGGGAATAAGAATTCATAGCAAAACAAAATTGATTTTTAATGGTAGCACAGGTGCCCCCCTCACCTTCCCAAAGTACAATGCAGCATAAAGAAAAGTGTTTCATTAATATGTTCAACATGAGTGCTTGGATATACATACTATTAGCTGGTTGAGTAGCTGGCTGCAATAATGCAAAATCAATGTCAGACTTTCCCTCTCCCTATAGCTAAACAATGACAACGAAGCTGAAAAACTCAAGGTTATTACTGCTTTTGAATGCAAAGCCACACTTGGAGTGTTAGTGGCAGTGAGACCAACTTTTGTATTTGTTCTGCACTTCTCAGTTAAGGGTTTTAGAATGAGGGGTTTTGGCAGTTCAGGCTTAGACTCCTTTATTTTTCTGGCATAAACCTCCACTGGTTCTGTATTTCCAGAAGTAAATATATATTCTTAAGTTTTCAGGAAAAGAGAGTTCTTGTATTTTGAAGTTTAAAGGTGAGGTAGAGTCCTACATGTCAGTGACTGGACGGCCTCATGACCATTCGTCGAAGCAGATCATTAGGAGTCATCTTACTGTCCAGATGCCCCCTTTTGGTGGCCATAGTGAGAAACCTAGAAACGTGTGTTCCAAGTTTTCCATTGGCTGATTATTGTCTATTTGAGATTATTTAATTTTTAATCCTAAAAGTCCATTCCAGTAGGTACTTATGTATCAACATAAACCAAACTATTATTTATAGCCCATTTTAGATAAATTCTGCAAAATGAGAATGCACTCATTCTGCTCTAGCTGTTTAAACTGAGCTTGAACAGTATTCCTTGGGTAAAGTGAAATTTGTATATGCCCTGGAGAAATTCATGCATGGTCAGCACGTGTGCCTCACGACACTGCCTTACCCCCACATGCCCATCCGCTGCCTGAAAAGACAGCACTTTGAATCTGTTCTTTTTTTTTTTTTAATGTTTTATTTATTTCTAGGACAGAGAGAGAGAGACAGCGTGAGCAGGGGAGGGTCAGAGAGAGAGGGAGTCACAGACTGAAACAGGCTCCAGGCTCTGGGCTGGCAGTCAGCACAGAGCCCGACACGGGGCCCGAACCCACGAACCGCGAGATCATGACCTAAGCTTAACCAACTAAGCCACCCAGGCGCCCCTGAATCTGTTCTTTGAAGAAGTGAGCAGGGCAATGAATTAAAGACAGGACCAAAGAAGAAACTGAAAACTTGTATCAACAGTGGAGACTCAAATGCCCTGTGGCAGTGTGTCCCATCAGTCTGTACATCGTTGTATCAAAATAATCCTGTGTAAATATCAGTGCCAAATCCTCTGCAACAGGCTTAATCTAGAGGCACATATCAGTCTGGGATCTAAACTCCAGGTCTTCCAACTTGTTAGCATCCTCTTCGGTTGGAAACAGCTACCATTTCTATCAATGTAATAATGAAAGTTACGCTTGTGTTGTCTAATGCATCTCGTTGTGGCTTTCAAAGTTTGCTTAAGGTATTAAAACCTTAGGAAATGTCTCTTGTGCTCACGTATTGACTTAGGAAAATTATTTGTATGTATGTATACAGTGATAAATGTTGAAAAATAGTATGTACCTAAGGTCCCAAGATGCCCTAATTTAATTTGTTCCAGTAGGTTAAAATAAATGGAATGGAATCCAAATCTAGTTCCTTGTGGTCATGTTTTCTTTCTGGTTTAAAACTCATTTTAGGAAGATCTGTTTGCTTCAGCAGAACTAATGATTCCTTTTCTCGTTTTTAGCCCAGCCTTCAGGTGAGCCATGCGAAGTTACATAGTTTGGTCAAGCCCAGTGTAGACTATGTCTGCCAGCTGAAATTTCCTTCTGGCAATTATCCTCCTTGTGTGGATGATAATCGGGATCTGCTAGTCCACTGGTGTCACGGCTCCCCCGGAGTAATCTACATGCTCATCCAGGCCTATAAGGTACTATGAATTTTCTTGTTTTTAAAATAAATTGGAAAATGTGACGTAAAATTCTGTAACTTAAAATTGTTTTCGTGTATAATCTTTAAAGGAGCAGTAGATACATTACTTTTTGGACCTAAGATCATTTTGCTAAATGGATTCTAATCATTCTTACCGAATCCCTCTACACCAGAGCAGGCACTGTTTTCCTAGGTCAGGAGATTGCTTCACTGACAGGGAGAATAGCCAAGATTGTAGCGGCAGGAGGAGAGCCCAGAAAAGTATCCCAGAAGTTCAGTTAAAACAGAGCCTTTATTGGACAGTGCTGGTGGCATTGTAAACTGGTGCAGCTGCCATGGAAGACAGTGTGGTAATTCCTTGAAAAATTAAACGTAGAATGAGTATGTGATCCAGCAGTTCAACTCCTAGGTATATAGTCCCCAGAATTTAAACACAAGGATGTACACACATTTCCACAGCAGCATTATTCCCCATAGCCAGAATACAAACTGTGTGTAGCCCCGTACACACACAATGGAATATTATTCAGCCATACAAAAGAATGAACTTCTGATCCATACTACGATAGCAGGGACCCTGGAAACATTATGCCAAGTTAAGTAAGCCAGATGCTCAAGGACAAATTCTTTATGATTCCTTTTATGTGATGTGTTTCAATATGCAGCATCTAGAACAGGCAAACGCATGCAGGGGAGAGCAGAATGGAAGCTAGCAGGGCCTGGTGCCCGGGTGGAAGGGATGGGGGGCAGGTGCAGGACACTTCATGGGTACCGAGCTTGTTTGGGATGATGAAAACGTTTTGGAAATAGTGGTGACGAGTATACAACATTGTGAAGGTAGTTAATGCCACTGAATTGTACACTTCAGATGACTAAAATATAACTTTTATATTGAGAAAATATAAATAAGATAATTATTTTACCACAATAAAAGAAATGCAAATATCATTTCTTAAAAAGCATGCTATGGCAGAGCCATAATCAGAGAACAGGGTTTTATTTGAAAGAAAAAGGAAAAAAATAAGTAAGTAAACCAAGATATCTATGTCCGTTGGTGCCAAATCTATAAATTACAAATCTGTGGACTATAAATAGCATTGGTATCTCATAACGCTAAGCTTTTATTTAGTACATCAAATTTTACTTTCAGAACGTTGGATATGATGGGAAAACTTTCTAAACCACCTTATTCTACTTTTAAGAATACTTAGTTTGCAATGAGATATTAAAACTGTCTACTCAGAATATTTCTTGAGTCTCTGACCAATATATAGGAGGCCACAAAAGATTGTAAAGATGTGTCTCTATTTTTCTGACAAAGTATAGTGTTTTATAATCAAATCCGTTTTTATAATCAGTTTTTTACACAGTTTCTTCCCTGTATGTAAAGAAACTTCCTAATAGTAAAGGGCATTATCGTTAACCAAAGAAGAGAGCATGGGGTGCTTTGGAAAGTAACTGATGATAATAGCAGGTCACAAGTAAAATCAATGCTGCTTCACCACTAGCACCTACATATATACACACAGAGTGCACAGAGAATGTAGATGGGGCAGACAAGGTCACGTGCAGTTATTTAAAGGCAAGAAAAGCAAAGCTAGTCAACTTTTATAATTTGTCCCCACCCACATGACACATCTCTCTGGCTCTAAATCCCTTACCCTTTCTTACCAAGTCACGTCCATCTCGCATCTCCCCTCCTTTCCCATCAGGAAGGAATGTCAATAGAAGTTTCTTTTCTATCCCTTGTAATAAAGCTTTCCCTTGGCCCTGCAGGTGTTCAGAGAGGAGCACTACCTCAACGATGCATATCAGTGTGCTGACCTGATCTGGCAGTACGGGTTGCTGAAGAAGGGGTACGGGGTGTGCCACGGCACCGCCGGGAACGCCTATGCCTTCCTGACACTGTACAACCTCACACAGGACATGAAGTACCTGTATAGGGCCTGTAAGGTAGGCGCCAGAACCCCCAGAAAGAAAACCCCTTCCCCCAGAAGGTTGAAGAGAGGGCTCCAGTCAGTCTGATTTAATTCATTTACCTTTTAAACCATGAGTCTATAGAGCAAATCAAGTTATTTAAGAAAAGCCTTCTAAACCCATTCAGTTGAATTAGCTTTCTTGTATAAGGACACAGTTCTACTTATTGGGGGGAGAAAAGAAAGAGATTTTCCTCTGATAACCTCAGAGACAGTTGCTCAGACGGCTCATGACATTCCTCCCTCCCATTCTTTGTACTGTCTCAGACTATCTGTTTCTCTGCACTAACCCCTTTTTTCTGCCTTGAGGATAGTTTTTGACTTTTCAAAGTAATTCTTACGGAATCTTTATCAACTTTTGGGGGTCTCCAGAAGAAATCACTACCGTAATTATCATGGTCTCACTTTCAGTTTGCTGAGTGGTGCTTAGATTACGGAGAACACGGATGCAGAACACCAGACACCCCCTTCTCCCTCTTTGAAGGTATTTTTCACACCTTAGTCACCTTATAATGTCAGTATCTACTTCTCTGCTTGGTAGTTAATGTATTTGAGTTTGAGCTTTATCGGCAAGTTAATTTTGCAGTCATTTCTGTAACTACCTCTTTACTTCCTAATATGAGAACTCAGTATTAAAAATCAAGTACTACATGGACCATCTTAGACCTAATACAAGTAGTCATAATGGTGACTGCCCTTTATGGAGCCAAACACAGGCGTGGCATTTTGCAGACGCCCCCATAAATCATCTCAGCAAAAACACACCGATGTTATTATCCTTGTGTCACAAGTGAGGACACGGAAGCTCAAACAGGTTAGTGGCCCGTGGTGCTGTGTTAAGGAGCTGACGTGATAAATGACGGCTGTGCCTCGACCTTCTCTGGCTCAACTCTCCCTCCTGTCTTCCACCTGGATGAAGAGACCGAGCACCTCACTAGCGATCTCCTCTCATGTTGACCTGCATCATATATTAAACAGATGCCTGTTTCATTGAAGTCATTGTCATTAGTATTGTAATGGTGGTACAGAATGAAGCTACTCTATAAAATGGAGTCATGTGGTATGGTAACCTGTACCTCTTTTTCTTCCTTCAGGAATGGCTGGAACAATATATTTCCTGGCTGACCTCCTAGTGCCCACAAAAGCCAGGTTCCCTGCGTTCGAACTGTAAAAGGAAAGCCTGCCCCCTGCGACGCACTGCATGCCCCTTTCTGTATATCAAACCTGGACTAAGTGCTTTGATTGCTTTTCAAGAAAACATAGGTTCAAACCGTGTACTTGATTTAGTTGATTTTTCTAATTTCATAATTTGTCTTCAGTTTATTTCCTTCTGTTTATCATTTACTTTTACTTAAAAGTATCCAAGGAAATCTTTTAACTTTAACTTCAGTTTCTTCCTAAAGGAAGGGTGAGTGATATGTACAGTGTTTTGAGGATATATGTATTTCAGAACGTGGATGAAACCTTACTCTTACTTAAGCTTATAAACATAACCATCCTTTTCTGTTCTAGAACTATTTAAAAGAAACTAAATGTAGATAAAGAAAAATATATGGTTATTGTTGGATATTGCCATCTGCCTCTTTAGTATTTTTCCTTGAACAGGGTAGACAGTTTTAGAACTTTGTTTTTCTTTAAGTGGTTGATTATGAAGGGGGACAAAAATATTAATAACTATATGCTTCTGAGACAAAAGTTGCAAGAGATGCAAACTGGTTTAAGGACGTAAATACCACTTTTCAAATCCACAGTGCTTGTTCAACTAGGTAATGATACTTTCAGATTTTTTCTTTTTGGTAGTAAAGCATCCAGGTTCCAGAAGTCAAAGTTTTTTATCAAAAATTTCTAACATGCAATGGTGGTTTTGAAAATTCTGGTATGAAGATTAGTTCAAGAAAAGCTACGAAAAGTTTATTGTTTATTCTAAAATAAGTTAGTGTATCTTTGAAGTATTTATTTACATTTGTTTGTTCCTTGGATTTAGTATAAGATCAGGAAACGATTTTCTATATGTGAATATATGGTGACTTAGGATTTGAGTTCTCTTTGTCCCGCTGACCTTCTAAACTTTGAATTGTGTTTCACTTCCTTGGCAATGACTATGCATTACTGCTTGCAGTTTGGTATAAGCCATAACCTATTTTCCTTCCTTTCATTCTATCTGGATGTTTGTCTTTTCACTGAATAGTACAGTAGTCTACATCCTACATCTCTCTAAAAGGGGAAAGGGGTGCTATATAGCCAATAACTCGAACAAAAACAGTAAGCTTTCCATTGAACTGCTGTTTATTTAGGAGGTATTTATCCAGTGAAAAGGTTTAGAACAAATGCATCCCATCTCTTCGCATATCCTAGGTTTAACACTTAACGGCTTCTGAGCCCTCAGGATCGTGTATTTACCTGGTAGACGAAGGGTCCCTGATGCTTCCTGTTCTGTACAGATGTTTTCACTCATCAGCTTCCCCTCCTCCTCCTTCCTTTGCTGCTTTTTCCAGGCTTGTTTCATCTTTTCTTGCATGTTTTGACTGATTTTAGAACATTCTGCAGCTTTGAGAAACAGGGTCTAAGAATGTTAAATGTGCCTATTTCGTGGCTTTCTTGGTCACAAAAGCATGTTGTTTTTATTTTAACTTGGAGCCAAATCCCAATGTGGGTATATGTTGGGTTCCTCCAGAGAGTAGTCCCCTATTATTTTCCATTTAGCACCAAAATAGCTTATATTATTGGAAATTGTCTGACCCTTTAAAGGCTTCTGACAGAAGGATCTAAAAAGCAGCCCACTGCTCAGTTCCTGGGATTAGCTTATTCCTCGGCGACTCGCACTAGTTGGGAAAACCTTGTGCCTCCAGATGTCTGCAGCTACTGCTAAGCTGTGCCTTTCTCCTGAGCGTTTCAAATGAGCAGTGCTGGTGTTCCCAGCAAAGCTAATTTGCCTTTGGCTGGATGTCCAACTTGAAAAAATAAAACCCATTTGGTTTAGTTAAATGTCTTACAGTACTGTGCCTGTACTTTGAGCTACTGTAATTACCAAAGGGAAAGAGAGCAAAACATACTTTCTCTTAGCCAGAGGAAACTTGACCACAGCACATCTCCAACATCTTGATTAATTTAACCCCAGGAAGACTCCTCGGTGAGGAGAAGAACACTTTGAATAAGAGTTGTTAATATTTAGATTGCAATTTACTGTCTTCCATGAACAAATTCATCAATACAAACACAATTCAGGTTTGTTGTTGTTTTTAAGCTTTTTAGGACTTTAATTAAACTGGTGGGATTTTCCATTCATGAGGTAAGAAAATCCGATAGGATTTTAAACTCCAACAAAAGCCATAAAACTAAGGGCAGTATCCTAACGCCATGGTGGAAATCGAGAGAAACTTTTATACCAGCTTTCTTAGTTTTAAAAGGAAGAGACGTCATTGCGGTTCTGTTTCTGTTACATCATTATTCCCTCAGATACTTTCTTTTCTTTTGGTTAAAAAAAAAAAAAAAAAGCCTTTCCAAAAGTTGCCTCCCCAAAACTTCACAGTATCTCTTCCCTCCCTGTGCAGAAACGAGGTAGTAAAACCTTACTTGTTGAGCAGTATTCATTTATCCTGTCATGCGTTTCTGCTCCTGTGGTGATGAGAAATTACAGCAGTTAACTGTTCATCATGTAAAAGCGTTAACGTTCTCACAGCCATTTCCATCATCCCACTGGGCTTTGGTCTCCAAGTTGTTGGCCTTTAAGCATCTTTGATTCCCTTTTCATCTTTGATGTCAGTCCCAATGACTTGGCACCAAGAGTCTTGATGGTAGGAAGAGTTTTGGGTAAAAGTGGATCCAAGATGACTTTCTCTTTTCACTGCCACTTCCCCACGTAACCGAATTGAGAGACCTACTCTTGCTCTTATATCTTCAGGTTAATTTGTGTCTGATCTGATGGTGCCCTGCCTGCTACTGGCTGATCTGAAATATAAAATGTGAAGGGCCAACAATTATTCATCTACTCCTTTGGCTTCTAGAACTCATCTCAGTCCTTTATTACTCATACCAAGTTCTAATTCCACCTCTGCTCCCCGGCAGTAGGTCTGAGGCACCCCACTTCTCTCTTACGGAGCTGTAGAACCGTTTCTCTCCTATAGGTATAGAACAGAGTGGGATGTTCAGGGAACCCACCCCAGTGTTGATATTGCCACTTAGTGGGAAGGGCTGGGGTCATAAGTATTTCTATGTTCTGTAAAGGATTTCACCCACTGATTTCTCAATAAAATTTTACTAGGACTGTATTTGTCATGTGCTTTCTGTTTTCTTTGGTTTAAACTTAAGAAAGCTTTTCCTTATATCGTAAATGAGGGCTTTTTCTCTATACTAGGGTTTGTTCTGACTTTTTCTTCATTATTTCGTCAAACAAGATTTGCAGTACTTTCTGAAAATAGATTCAGAGGGAAGTATTTTTAAATCTGATTATTATAGAATTAGGAGGACTCTACTAGGATCCAAGCAGAGCAGTGTATCACCCACCTCATACATATGAGAACCCAACCTGTGGTTAATAAGTAAAGGCCTAATTCTAGAAATTGATTTCCCTGCTGACCAGTTCTGAAAGGAACTTTGACGAGTGGAAGAGATTACATGAGACTTAATTATGAAATGTGTATTCAGAGGTGGGAAAGCAGTTCTGCAGTATCACCTGGAAGGACTTTGTGGCACTTACTTTCATGCCACAGCTGTGTGGTGTGACGGCACAACAGAGATCTGCCAAATTATAAAATACTTGTTTTCATCCCTGAATTAAGGTTTTGTCCTCTGGCACATACGATTAAAATGCCCTTCATACCTCTAGGCTTCTGTCTGAATGACTCATAAGAGGAAGGATAAATGCACCGTTATTTTTATTTCACTCCCTTGAATGAATGAATGTATGGATGGTGATAATCACATCTTTAGTTGCGGGCAGTGAGGCGTGGAGGGGATAGTGCCTCACAGAGGCCACCCAGAGACTGCAGTGACACCTGGAGCATCCCCGCTCCCTGTAGGAAGACTGCACTGCGGTGGGTCAGGCTGGCCATCACTGCTCTCCGGTTTACCATGCCCTGGCTTGTCCTCCGAACGGGAGAAAAATAATGACGGGCATATTAAATTGCACCACACTCAAGCTCGTGAACAAACAAAACCTGAAGAACTAAGTCTCCTGAGACTTAACCCATAGGTTTTTTTCCCCTAACTTCGCATTAGAAAAGACCTTTGCCTCCCTCTTCCTTATACTCTCTGAATAGAATAATCCTTTTTTTGTGTCATTTCTTTTTCCCTAGATAGTTCCCACTGTGGATTCAGTGTCATTAAAAGTTTTGTGCATTCTCCATTCTTCTAAGCGTCATTGAAACAGAAAAACCTATAAGTCAGTCCCTGATGATTTGCTTTCACAGTCTGTCTTCCCATCCAGACCTGCCCTTTTCCTTCTCAAGCTGAGGGTCAATTAACAAAGCAAGAGAACATTGGCTTTTTTTACAATGGAGAACATATTGGCTTCATTGGTTCCATTATGTAAACTATTGAAACAGTATTTTCCAGAAGCCCTGTGCTTGTGCGTCCTCAGAGACTTATTTGACAATTTCGTGAGTAGTGGGAGAAAGCGCACACAATAAACCAAGAGGTGAAATAATGAGCATAGAGAAATGCATCTTAGCGGGACCACTGCTCATACTCAGCCAGTTTAATTTCACATTTCTGCATTATGTTAACTTCTGCACATGCAAATGACAGCCATGGTGACATTAAATCTGCAGCCAATGTTCTGTCGCTCTACAAATAAGTGTTCGAGAAAGCATTTGTGAGGCACTTAGTCATTATGCAGGGAAAGGCAGGACTCTTGATAAATCAGTTTATAAAGTAATGTCATAGCTGCCTAATTTCTCTCCCCTGATAGAGCTGGGATAGTAAGAAAGGTATTGGCCCAAAAAACTACTGCAGTAGCTCACTGTGGAAGTTGAAGGTTAATACTGATCTCTCAGGATTCAGCATTTAGGAATTAACATGGGCACCCCTTGCTGGTATAATCCAAAGTGGTGGCACTGTTTACATGCTGTAAACAAGCCATTTCATTTAAACGTGCCATGAGCAATGCTTTAAAACCATTTTATCCGCCAAATTCATTATAAACGTGTATGTCTGCATGCAAGATGCCTGGCAGGGGCATTCTGTGTGTATACAGTAGACATCCCCACTCTGGTGACACAGCCTGGTGAGCAGGACCACTGATGAGTCAGGTTACAGGGAAATGCATTCGAATATTCCTGTTCACCCCCCTCCGTGGTTCCACAAATTTCAAGAATACCCAGGTCTTTCCTGTGACTCATGGTGTCTGGCTCTGTTTGGAGATTTAGAGTGTATAATCCTGCAGGGCAGAAGACACTAAAGAGTCTTTTTTTAAAAAGCCATCCAGCCAGTCCAGAAGCACTCAGAGTTCTTAAATTTGGATCACCCTGATAATGGGTGAAGTGGAGGAGAATTTGAGCACATAAAGTCACTTGCCCCCAAAATTACTTTCACTCAGTTGGCTGACTTCTTGAAAACTCCCAGTATCAGCATTATTGATGATTTAGGTTAAATCCACTTCCTTAGGGAATCCAATTAATATCCAAAAGTTTTCAAAAAGGCAGTTAATCAACTTGCTATTCGTCATTAGCATTTTAGTATCTGGTTTCATAACCTACGTAGCAATTAACTTGAAGAACTCCAATCCCAACGATATTAATTGTGCTACTAGCATATGCTAGGTACAGCATCTGGCTAGGATTATGAAGATGACACCTGCTCACAAAAGACTGTTTAAATCTGGAAATAAATATAAATAAATAATTTCCCTATGATAAGGAGCCTCTCCAGGACTCACTCTTGGTGAATGGGGGAAAGACAGGTGTAGGAGAGTCAAGGAAACTTGTTAAAAAAATTTTGAGGTCAGTGCTTCTCAACCACATATACATACAAATCACCTGGGGATCTTGTTAAAATGATTCCAAAATGCCATCTGATGGGGCCTTAGATGCTATAGTTTTAACAAGCTCTCAGACAATACCTGTACTGCTGTCCACAGAGGCTCCTTTGAGTATGATGGACCCAGATAGTCCAGCATAGAATCCCGACTCAGGAGAGAAGAAGGAAGTGAGGTCATGAGTTGGCTGATGAGTTGAAAGGATCGATATGTGTGAGTCAAAGAGCACAAGTACTAGTACAAAGAGCGTAAAAGCTGGAATGATTGGAGTCTGATTTTTTTTAACGTTTACTTATTTATTTTGGGAGAGAAAGAGCATGAGCAGGGGAGGGGCAGAAAGAGAGGAAGAGAAAGAGAGACTCCTAAGCAGGCTCTGCACTGTCAGCACAGAGCCTGACACAGGCTTGAACCCACAAACAGGTCATGACCTGAGCCAAAATCAAGAGTCAGATGCTGAACTGACTGAGCCACCCAGGAGCCCCTGGAGTCTGATTTCAGATGTGGCACAGTTCCACATAACATCAGGCAATAAGGTCTTGTGGTGATTAATTTTCCATGGTGGTGATCGTAGCCAGTAAAAGAAACAGACTTGGAACATGTATTTGTTTATCCTTTTAATGGAAAATTTGCCAAAGATTTGGTATCTTTTCAACCCAAAGAGAGTAATAAGCTTCGGGTAATATGAGTCATATGGAAGATATCTATACTAAAGCGTTAATTTGAGTCATCTGGGATCCTCAAGTCTTGTATGAGGAAAATTAGACCCCTCTGCCCCTTGTTTAGAATTTATGAAGAGCCATAATTAGCCAGCCAACTGTTTGAAGGTGTTTGAAATGCAAGAGCAGGTCAATCACATTCCTTTTTCCACTTTTTTTCCTCAGCATGTTCTGAGTAGTAAGTGTACACTAGAGGTGTTGTTTGTCTTTATTTGCCATCATCTTGCATTTGCCATGTTTCCTAAGAATTCCATCAAGTGCTATGGGTCTACAGTGCCTCAGGGATTGGTGTCATTTATCCAGGGACACCAGAGCTAAAGAACAGGGCTGACCCAGGAGGTTTGGAAACTTCACTGGAAATAGGACAAGCCCATTAGTCCTCAACTTCCAAACTAAAAGGCTAATACAACTAAGTGTGGTCATACACTCCTGTTCACATAAGTTTCCTGGGTATTTCCTGGGTGTTCCATACCAGGAAATGATCCACATTTAGACGGCTCACATTATCAGTGCATGTTCTACCACTTAGTACAGAGAATGTTTATCTTTACAAGTTCTTATGTGCCCTCTTAAAAATTGAGTTGTGTTCACATTTTATTGAAATATGTTAAAAAGAACCTCTGTAGGTCTGGCTTTGATGGCCTTTTCTTCTATTTCCTTGAAAAGGCCAAGTTCATCATCCTCTCTACCTCTCCTTCAAGTTGCCCCTTCAGCTAAATTTCCTAATTCAGTTAATGGTGTTATCTGGCTGCTTAAGCCAGAAAAGGTGAATTAACATCCTCACACCGTTGGTTCTCAAAACACAGTCTCTGGACCAACAACATTAAGTAGCATTACCTGAAACTTGTTGAAACTTGTTGGAAATGTACATTCTAGGGCCCAACCAAGACCTACAAAGTAAGGACCTCTTGCAGGAAGGGGCCCTATCCAAGGTCTGGACCCACTGTGTAAGTACTGTGTATTCCGCACACAGAGGGCCCAGACAATGTGTGTTAAACGTTCAACTGAAATATGATTTGACCAGCTAGAGAAATGGACTTAGAAACCTTTACTTAGATTTACTACATGCTGATCTTATATTTAGCTTAGCTCTATTTTCTATTTGTTGAGATCACCTTTGCTTGGTTGTTTTAATAGTAACCATCTAGTTAGTGAAACCCGAGCATTATTATGGGGTTGGTAACAATGAAAAACAGGTTTTGACCAGCAGATGTCAGTAGAGCTCAGTTTAATAATTTCGATTGTTAATGAACTTGAAAAATTAATGGAGATGGTGAGAGGGAAGATACTTGCAAGTAGAATAGGATTTCTTTGTTGACATTTAAGAAACGGTGTCTACAACAAAAACTCCTTACACCAATTCAGGCATATTGGAAATGGCTGCAAGTACTGACTTCACAACAATATGTGACTTCAAAACAACCATGGCCTTAATGGTAAGTTTCTTCCACTTCAAAGTGCAAAGTATTTTATACTGGACATCAGGTTATTGCTAACTAGAGCCAAAATCATGAAAGATGGGAGAGAGCAAGTATATATAAGATTATATAATCTTACATATACATATATATGGATTATG